GGAATCTGACACAAAAGCATGGTTAGGAGAATGTAAACCGGACCCGATAGTGAGATAGTGTGCTAACAGTAGGTGTGGCCGTTCACCATCCCTGGGTGTGAACCCGAAAAGGTAAAAGAGGGGAGGAGTGATGACGCTCTCCGGGGTTGAGAATCCCTAAGGTTACTGTACAGTGGTTGCGTCTTGGTGAGGGCTCAGAACGACAGTTCACCCTTGCCCGTGGTTCGAGAACTGATCTGGTAGGGACGCCGAGATAGAGCTCCTTGCTATCAGTGCCTCTGAATCATCGCGCCCTTCGGGGGTTTTTCATCACGAGTGTACGGATTGGGTTATCTCACTGATACTGATCATCTGACTCATTATACATAAAACATAAAAACTACTAACCATGCAGGCTTAGTTGGAAAACTAAATAAAACTAAAGGTGAGTAATAGTCCTCCTACTGAGCATTTCATGCTCACCCCTTTTCTCTTCCCATGCCCAGGTGGTGTGCAGTGTAATCTTTCAGACGAGGAGTAGACGTCTCACAGTGTGCACGTGTTGGAGACCTATCCCTTCTTTTGGTCTTCTTTTTTTATGTAAGATTCTGACTGAGTTGTTTTCAAGATGGATGTGACTGATGATGGTTGTATTATTTTAGTATTTTACTTGGTGCTACATTGTACTGTGGATTTCTGGTTTAATTTTCTTTGTCGAGTTGTGATTTTAATCATGAGTTTTTCGTTAAAAGTCCCATGGGCACTTGTCGTTTATATTTCAGGAGTTATATTTTCGTTTATCCCTCGTATTTTATTCTTATTGCGTAACCCCCACCTAGGGGTGTTACAAGCATTTGGTTTTCACTTGTTGGTCTAGTACTGCTTATTTCGCTGCGTTGTGGTGTCCTTGCAACGCCGCTCTTTATCACTCCTCTCGTCACATGGGATGGCTCATTGTCTATATTTTTGTCTGTGTTGCTGGGGTTTCTTCTCTATTTGTGATAGGTGTTTATTGAAAATAAAGGCGATGTTAGTTCCACCATATAGTTGTTGTGTCTTGTTTTTAGGCTATGTTTTTTCTTTAATAACGAAGGTGGTCTCCTCACTCTCTCGTTTTGTGTCCTACCCGTTAAGTAGTTTCTTTGTGGTGTTGTGGATGACCTATGTGATACGGGTCTCGTGGTCTTAATCGATTGGAGTTATCCTTTGATTGTAAAAATATTATTTAAAGAGTTTTATGTATGCTTGATGGTGTGTGTGCCCTTTTAGTTTTCTGTTGTTGGAACTTGTTGCACATTTTACCTCTACATGCATTTTCATTAGAATTTACTGGTGGATCTAGTCTACGATCAGGGTTATATTTCCTTGTATTTTGAGGTCATTTGAGTTGTGTGTCTTTCTTTAATTTGAAATACAATTGCCTTTAAAAAAAAAAAGAATAGTAATTTGGTCATTGTATGTCCTAAAAACCTATTTTAAGGTACCAAAGTGTCGTTTTTGAAAGAGTCAAGTTACGTTCTTGATATTATGAAAAGCATAAAGTGATAAAGTAATCTTTTTTTTTTTTTTGAAAAAGATAAAGTAATCTTTTTGAATAACACAAGATATTAAAATAATTTTTTTGTGTTGTCAAAAATGATATTTTTCCTATTTAAATTTTTTTTGTGATACTTTTTAGTATAGAAACTTCAAAGTTTCTCAAAACAATAACAATCGTTTTTACACTGTATTTTAAGTATATTCAAAAAGTACACTATATATTCTTTTTACCTCATCAAATATAAATTTGTACCATATACCATTTCCAAGTCAATAGACAATGTTTGAAAAATCTAAAAACTAAAAAGAAAAGTTACGCATTGCCGTAGAGCAAAGTGAGCCTTATTTTTTCTCTTCAGGTGTCGCCTCCGCATGAGCATCGTCGATCCTCGTCCCATTACTGTAGAACAAACGAGCCCGACATTTTGTTGACTGTCCACGTTTTGCAAATTCTCCCATTGTAATTTCTGGTGAGAAAGAGAAGATGCAATTTGAAGTAGTATTCTTTTTTTTTTTTGGTTGCATTTTTAGTGTATAGATCTTCCTTACAATGTTTGAATCTTATTTGTCAATGAATTTGAAATATTAAGGGGACAAAATCAGAAACTTAGGCCTTGTTCGTTTCGCGGATTCGAGTTATTAATTTAAGTTAGATGTGACATTTGAAAGCTTTTAACTATAGCAGAAAAAGTCAGATGTGACATTTTTTAAGAAATTTCAACTATAGAAACCTAGAACTGAAAACTCAAATTTGTGAAATGAGCGATGCCTTTGTTGAAAATAGTGTCATAGAATCATGAGATATAATAAAATATTTATTATTTATTTAATAAAAGAGTTTATTCATTATTTTATGTGCATATATTATTGAATATTTTATGAATATCATTGAAAATTCTAGGATCATTTATGTGACCTTAAATATTATATATTAACATTATATGCGATAGGATAATATTTAATGATAATAATAAAAACGATGTTCGTAATGAATTTAATTAAAGTTTATAATCTTTAATTAAAACATTACTAATACGTGTAATTCCTATTTAGAATGAAACGGCGTTATCTGCACTGTTAATATGATGAGATTTTGAATGAGAGTATTACGCATGATGAGATTGTGTGGAACCGGGACACAGACACAATATGAATTTTTGATAATTTCTATTAAGTATAGAAATTCTAATTGAGTTTATTGATGGTTATATATAAAGCGATCTTAATCCTGAGTTATCAGTAAACTTCTATTTATGAATTTGTGTTTTTGATTTACTTGGTACAGATTCTGAGATGTTAAATCCTATTCCTTGTTTTTTAGAGAAATGATGAAGTGAGTAGACGAGAATGTTATTATACAAGATGAAATCCATTCCTTCTTGAGAAAGAAGTAGATAAATAATTCTCTTGATGATCGATTCGGTTCTTAGACTAGAAGGAGCTCTGATTCATGAATTTATTTTATAAATTACTGTGCATTAGAGAATCAATGGTACTCAAGAATAAAGATGTAATTAGATAGATTACCGGATTTCACCTAGCTCTAACTATGAGTTATTTATAGATGATTGATCTATATGTAATGACTATATCAAATGGACACTTCACAATTTAGAAGTAAATTATATATATAATTATGAGAGTGCAATTCCAAATTTAAAGTGGAGTAACTTTTTGAATTAGTAGAATTAATTAAAGAGTTAATTAATTATTAATTTTATTAGATCTCAGAATTATAGGTCCATAAGTCCATGTGTCATCCTTGTAATCTTACAAGACAATAAGGGCGAAATGGAAAGTTTAGAATTATAGAATTCTATGCTTAAGAATAATTAATTGAGAATTAATTATAAATTAAAATAATGTGATCATTTAAAATTTGAATTTTGAAACACACATGTGCATGAATCCATATGGTGTACATGCCTTGCACTGTGAGAATCCTTTAGAGATTCAATTGCTTACTTTCTAAGTTATCCAATTGAAATTCAAATTAAATTAAGTTTGACTTTTATTGGAATTTAAATTTGAGTTAAAATTGGATTGCATGATAAAGAATTTTTTTTTCTCCTTTCCTATTTGCTATTTGAGCCAACCACACGGGAGAATATCCCTGTGCTGGCCGGCCCCTATGGCAAAGAAAGAAAGAGAAATTTGTTTCCAAAATCAATTAGAATTAAGAGATAATTATCAAGCTTTATATTGGAGATAAGGATAAGACTTTTTGAGAGTCTGACAACTACTCTATAAATATGAGATTGCGGAAAATTAGAAAGCACAAGTTTTGCTCTCTTTAGCATAGTGTGGCCGAATTTTATAGAGTGAGGAAAAGAAAAATTTTATCTCAAATTCCACATCGTGCATGTGTTGGTGTCCGTGTTATACTTGAGTGTTTATTTGCTAATCCCGTTTTGTTTGAGGTGTGCCCACACACACGTCTTCGTAGATTCAAAAAATTGACGAGGAAGATATATATACTATAAGCAAGTTTGGAGCGAGGAACTTTCGTAGTCAAAGAATTTAAATTATCGACATAATCATTCGCTAGGTAAATTTATTCATAAATTAATTTAATTAATTTATTCGTGCATAAATTAATGTATTCTGTAGAATATCTCGAAGGTTTGTTAAAATTTTTATTATACACGATCCGTTAGATACAAGCTTTTGCATAGAAAATCGTTTTTAAAACCAACAATAACCTCTTAGACATTGACGATGGTGGAGAATAAAGTGTTTTACTGCATTTTTTCCTTATTTTCTTTTTAGTCATGTTTTTAAGTTTTTATAAATTTTTATAAATTTATTTTAATTGTATCATTTTTGGGTCAAAATTCACCATTGAGTTGGAGACAGTATGTACCTCTTACGTATTAAATTAGATTTAGAAGTAGATATTACATGAGGTCAAAAATTAAATGTATACTTTATAAATGAACTCAAAAGAGAGCTCATAATTCTATATAAAAATAAGACAGGTTATAAAAAGTTAGAAATGTCTTTAAGTTCGGCGCTCGAACTAGTCTAGTAAATATAACTCTTTTCTCGTATTTTTGTGTAATATTGTTCTTTAATATAATTTATTTAAGTATGTGTTAATATTAAGCGTTATATTTAAATAAATTAAATGTTACACAAATATATAAATGATGTTATATGAGAATACGAAAAAAAAAAAAAAAAAAAACATTTGTTGGACAATACAGGTGCCGGATTTAAGATTTAAAAAATGATATTCTCATCAAAATAAAATCTCATTTGTATCTCATTTACTCACAAAATAATGGATCTCGGTCCTATCCATTTAACTAGACCGCTTTAGGTGAGTAAGGTGATTTTAACCGATGAGATAAATAGGGTGCTCTACTGCTCTTAAGATTTTATCTAAAAAGTTAATTAAACTTTTTTTTTTTTTTTCTTTTTTTTCAAATTGTTATAATCGTTTTTAACGTTATTTGTTGTTCTTTCAGAATGTTGTCGTTTTTAAGCTCAGTTTTGGGTTTTTCACAAAATCACGCCTCCTTCCCTTCCTCGCCTTCTTGTTCTCCCGCGCAGACCAAAATCTGAACCAGCCACGCTTACCTTCGTTGCAACAATGGCGGACGAAGAAGACGCTCTCTCATCAAACCCTAACGAGGCTCCAAACCACTCGGAAGAATCCCGGCAAAGGAAGCACGCTGCGCTGCTTGAACGCCTCGCGAATCGCCACCAGACTCGTCTCGAGAACTCCCTCACCCGCCGATCCGCTGATTCTGACTCGTCCTCATCGTCCCCTTCCTTCGAGTCGACCTCTTCCTTCCTCTCTCGCTTTGCCGATTCCAAGCGCTCCATCGAGTCCCGAATCGCCCAGTGCCGACTCACCCCAACCTCCGAGTCGACTCAGCTCAAATCTAACCTGGACAGCATCTCCGCCTCCATATCCGATCTCGAGAAGCTCGTCGCCGAGAACTCCTACTTCTTGCCGTCGTACGAGGTCCGATCCTTGCTCAAAGCGATCTCCGATCTGAAACAGAGCCTTGAGAGTTTGAGCTCCGAGTTGGTCCCGAAGAAGAAATTCATCTTCAAGAACAAAGCGGCGAAGAAAGAGAAAGCTCCAATTTTCGATTCAATGAAAGAGAAGGAACCTGAAACCGACAAGCCTGCGAAGGTCGGTTTCACCGTTCCGGAATCGCCTGGGTTTCGGAACAAGACCGGCGAGGTTTTGGTGAGAGAATTCAAGGGATCGGAGATCGGAGAATTCACGATTTCGGACCTTGATTCGTGCGAGGTGAGGCTGATTGGCTGCGTCAGAGCGTTGTTTGCTCACCGGCTTCGGAACTGTCGAATCTTCGGAGGCCCTGTGTCGGCTTCAATCCTGATTGAGGGAGCTGAGGATTGCGTGTTCGTAATCGCATCGCATCAGATTCGCATTCACCATGTGAAAGCAAGCGACTTTTATCTCAGAGTCAGAAGCAGGCCGATAATTGAGGACACTACCAATGTGAGATTCGCACCTTATTGTTTAAGCTATGAAGGGATTGATGAAGATCTTAAGAGTGCCGGGCTTAATGAGGAGACAGGGAATTGGGCCCATGTGGACGATTTCGGGTGGCTGCGGGCAGTTCAGTCGCCGAATTGGTCGATTTTACCGGAAAATGACAGGATTGGGTTGATTAAGATTTCAGATCCGAATAAAGGAGCAGAGAAAATCTAGTGTTGTGTTGAAGTTTGAGTTTGGTCAATTTTGTTGCCCCTAATGAGTGCTCAGATTGTTTGTCTCTGAAATGGCTCGTTCAGTTATGAGAGTTCAGGTAACTTGTTTTTTGTATTTAGAATTTATGATTGATATTTAGCGGATTACATTCTTTTAGTGATTGGTTGATCATTGTAAATTAGAATGCTATTCTATGTTATGCTATTCATATCAATTTGCAATTTCTGTTGTGCAACATGAATACAAAAATTGCAATTTGTACGATATGTGTACAGATATTGCTATTTGTAACAATATGAAATTGAAGTTATTCTAAATTGCTGGGATAAGTCCTATAAAAGTAGTTAATTCCCAGTTTTTGTGACAATGTGATTATACTGTTGCGTTATAAACCTCTACAAACTTGTTGGTTATTCAGAATGGGAGATTAATGTTATAGCTGGTTAAAGGATATTTGTTTGACAGTCGATTTAAGTTATCCATTTAAATTTGTTTCAAAATGTTTATGTTTCTCAATATGAATTTGTATCTCAAGGCATTTCCAAATTTTACTTCTACTGAGCAAGAGTATCTCCATCGGCTATTTAGTCAGGTATTGACTATTGCCCTAAATTTCATTTTATGCAGTAGACAATCTCTTATGTGGGTTATTATTTTTTCTTCTGAAATTATGTTTTGAAATTTTGTGAAATGATAACTGTGGTTTCGAATGAGAATTCTATATTTAGTTGAGCCAAAACATGGCTATTTATACACGGTATACAAGCTGTCTTTACAGCTATGATTACATCAGAAAAAAGGAAACAAAAACTATTTAGGAAACAAATCACCTAATCAAGAAACATGAAACTAATTACACATTAATCCTTGAAAGTCAACTATCTACTTCGCTAAAATGTATTCGGATTCTTTCCTATTTTCTGACACTACCCCTCAAGCTGGTGAGTATACATCTTTCATTCCCAGCTTGGAGATAATTCCTTGGAATGCTATGTTATCCAAGCCCTTGGTGAGTACATCTGCAAGTTGTCCTTTGGTTGAGATATATGGAGTACAAATCAAGCCACTATCCAACTTTTCCTTTATAAAATTCCGATCCACCTCAATATGCTTTGTTCGGTCGTGTTGAACAAGATTATGAGCTATACTTATTGCAGATTTGTTGTCACACAGTAGCCTCATAGGTCCTTCCCACTTGATTTTTAAATCCTCTAGGATTATCTTGATCCACAGTAACTCGCATATCCCCAGTGCCATTCTCTTGAACTCGGCCTCTGCGCTTGATCTTGCTACCACGTTTTGTTTCTTACTTCTCCACGTCACAAGATTACCTCCAAGAAATGTGCAATAGCTTGAGGTAGATCTTCTATCAATAGGAGAGCCTGTGTAATCTGTATTGGTATAGACGTCAAGTGACATTCCACCATTCCTTCTGAATAGAACACCTCTACCAGGATTTCCCTTCAGGTAGTGTAGTATTCTGTTTACCGCGTGCAAGTGAGCTCCCTCCTTGGGAGCTTGCATAAACTGACTCACAACACTCACGGCAAACGCAATGTCTGGTCTGGTATGAGTTAAATAAATGAGCTTTCCAACCAGCCTTTGATACATCTCCCTGTCTGCTGCTGGACTTTCACTTGCTTCGCCCAGTTTTTGATTTACATCAATCGGTGTGGATGCTGGTTTGCATGCCAATTTCCCCGTCTCTCTTAAGAGGTCTGTGACATACTTCTGTTGTGAAATAAGGATCCCTTCACTGGAGTGAGCTACTTCAATCCCTAAGAAATACTTCAGTCTACCAAGCTCCTTCTTCTCAAATTCCTTGGCTAGACACTTTCTCAAGGCCTCTTTTTCCTTCTCGTCATTCCCAATCATAATTTTTTCATCAACATATACCAAGAGAGTTGTCACTCCCCCTGAATCTGAGTGCTTGATGAAGAGTGTATGGTCTCCCTGACTCTGTTTGTATCCAGTGGCTAGCATTACTTTTGAGAATCTTCCAAACCAGGCTCTAGGAGATTGCTTAAGACCATATAATGCCTTCTTCAACTTGCACACCTTGTTATCTCTTGTATTCCATTTGAATCCAGGTGGAATTTCCATGTATATCTCTTCCTCTAACTCGCCATGGAGAAAATCATTTTTTACATCAAACTGATCCAAATACCAGTTGTAGTTGACAGCTAGAGACAATAGGATTCTGATGGTATTCATTTTGGCCACCGGAGCAAATGTCTCCTGATAATTTACCCCATAAGTCTGTGTGTATCCCTTTGCCACAAGTCGGGCTTTGTACCTTTCAAGTGAACCATCTGACTTGTACTTCACAGTATACACCCATTTGCACCCCACGGCTTTCTTCCCTTGTGGTAGATCAACAACCTCCCATGTATTATTCTTCTCAAGTGCCTGCTTTTCTTCTCTCATAGCAGCTTTCCATTTCTCATCAGATAACGCCTCATAAATAGTATTAGGGTATGAATAGTATTTAACTGGACCAAGAAATTTTTATGTAAAGGTGAAAATCTTTCAAGTGACATATTTTGCTAAAGGATACAAAGGATGTTTAGTGCATTCCCTTGTACCTTTCCTAACAGCAATGGGAAGGTGAACATCATCGGATATTGGAGAAGAAGTAATGTTTGGAACTGTACTCACCTCAATTCCAGGAGTGGGAGCTGATTCTTGGATTTGTTCTGGAGTGGGATCCGGATCCCTACACCTAGAGTAAACCTAGTCAAACCTAAATGTGTCATGGATTCCTGTCATTGGTGGAGAAGTTGGTTCTCTTTGAGATAGTTTAGGCTTTGTTTGGGATGGCTCAGGTGACTCAGCTGGCTCAAGAGGTACTGGTTGAGGCAAGGAAGGAGGCAATATCCTGGAAGGGGAAGAAGATATGTCAAGCAAAAATGTGTCCCTATCCTTATCTTCCATAAATGGCATTGACTCCCCTTGAAGATAAGGTTGAGTGAAATATGGTTTGTGTTCTTCAAACATAACATTAGCCGAGATGTAGGTTTTTCTGGTGGGTGGATGAAAACATTTGTAACCCCGCTGGGTTGGAGAATATCCCACAAAAATACACTTGACAGCTCTTGGATCTAATTTTTACCTGTTATGGCTATGAATGTGAACGGATGCAGTGCATCCAAAAATTCTAGGAATAAGGTTACTTGTGATTCTAAGGTCAAGATAGAACTTGGAAAGAGTTTCCAATGGTGTTTTAAACCCTAAGACTTTCGAGGGCAGTCGGTTGATCATATATGCAGCTGTGAGAACAGCTTCCCCCCAATAGTTTTTCGGAACATTTTGGCGAAAGAGAAAGGCTCGAGTGGTTGCTAACAAGTGACCATTTTTTCTTTCGGCCACACCATTTTGTTGGGGAGTGATACACGCTTGTGTTTCGCAAATTCACAAACCTCACAATGTAAGTGTTCATTCCCCAATCCTTTAAACAAAGATGGAAACATAATTTTTAGGATCCCAAAAGATGGTTGTCCTAGTCTAAAGTGATAGAGCCAAATGGTATCTTTATTGGATAGTGACAAAAAGAAAAATTTTTCTTGACATTATTAGATTTGCTTGATTCCTCTAGGTAGTATAGTCCGTCTCTCTCCTTTGCAAGCCAATCCTTTTCCCCGAAACCTGGTCCTGAAATAGACAATGAGAGGGATAAAAAAGTACGTTACAGTTCATGTCATGAGTAAGTTTTTTTATGGATATCAGGTTGGCGGAAAGTTTTAGACATGAAGCACATTTTTTAGGATGAGAGGGAGAGATGTAAACATCCCCTAGACCAGCTACAGTGATAAGAGAACCATCTGCAACAACTATTTTTCTATTGCTTGGACAGGGAATATAAGTGTTGAAACTTAGTGAAGAATGGGTCATGTGGTCAGTGGCTCTTGAGTCAATAATCCATACATCCTTGATACTATTTCCTGAGACAGTCAATCCTTAAGAAACAGAAAACTTACCTGAGAATGCAAGGGAGCATGCACTAGTCGGTTTCTCCAGGGTACCCAGAAGTTCTCTCAGTTTGTCTATCTCCTCTCTAATCTTTCTTGGACTCAGATGCCTTTCCTGACTGGGCTGAGTTTGATTTGCTGTGGTATTGGCTTGACTCTGGTTTCTCTGTGGAGCTCCTCGTTGATTCCATTCCCTGCTTGGTGGCTTGCCATTTAACTTCCAGCAGTTCTCTTTAGTGTGTCTCGATTTCTTACAAAAATTACACCAGAGAGAGTCCTTATTGTCTTGATTCCGAGTCCTTGATAGCTCTGTTTACCCACTCTCCTTCGATGCTGGTTCAGGGGCTGTCACCATTGCAGATCCGTCCATACTTTGAGGCTCGAGCATAACCCCTCTGCGACTTTTCTCGGCACGAATCAAGGAGATTTGCTTCATTCAGTGATGGCAATTCCTCTTTGCCTAAAATTTGGACTCTAACTTAATCAAAGTCAGCATTAAGTCCTGCAAGGAAATTGTAAACTCGATCTTTCTCGATAAAGTTTTTCAGAATTGCTGCATCTTCGGAGCATTTGGTTTCAATGCACTGGTAGTAGTCAAGTTCCTGCCACAGATTTTTCAACAAGTTGGCATATTCAGTCACAGTTTTACTACCTTGCTTTGTTCCACTAACCTTGACCTTGATCTCAAAAATTTGGGCTGCATCAAGAGCTTTCGAGTATGTCTGTCGAATAACGTCCCAAATTTCCTTTGTCGTGGATAAGAACATGACAGTGTCACTAACTTCTGGATTCATGAAATTCCATAGCCAAGACATAATCATAGAATCTGCTTCATCCCATGCTTCAAAATTTGGGTCATTCTCCTTTGGTTCTGTCCCAAGAAGATGACTTAGCTTTCCTTTCCCCTTCAAATAGGTTTTCACAAAGTGAGACCACTTCAAGTAGTTTCTCCCATTCAACCTATATGCTGCCTGCATATTTTGGAGATCTCCAGACGTTTGTTGAACCAGAGATTCCTCAGATTGTGCAGTGGTCTTAGAAGACTTAGTTTCAGACATGCTGTTTCTGACTAAGGGAAGAATTGAGGGCAGAAAATTTGGTAGGGTTTTCTGGCAATGAAGGCTGGAAATAACAAGGGCTATGAAGGCTGAAAAAGCTTTCAGAGTTTATGGCTCTGATACCATGTGGTTTCGAATGAGAATTCTATTTTTAGTTGAGCCAAAACATGGCTATTTATACACGGTATACAGGCTGTCTTTACAGCTACGATTACATCAGAAAAAAGGAAACAAAAACTATTTAGGAAACAAATCACCTAACCAAGAAACAGGAAACTAATTACACATTAATCCTTGAAAGTCAACTATCTACTTCCCTAAAATGTATTCGGATTCTTTCCTATTTTCTGACAATAACAACATTAGAATTCCCTATAACTTGTTGGTGGGAAAGAATAGTGAAAGTTTGATAGGATCTGGTCTCAATACAAATCAGAAAGTAGCATGACCAGGGAAAATAGATCGAACAAAAGATTCTGAATAGTTTTCTATTAAGTAAAATAGCAAGGAAAATACAAGGATATGGGGTTTTCAAGTGACCCTTGCACTCCCTAGAGCTAATGCTT